GTACTGAGCAAAGAAAGAAAAGCAGGGTTTTCTAAAGTGCATGAAATATAGCGTCGTATTACATAATGTATGCGTTATGTAATAAACACTTTGTATTTTTCTTTCTCCGACTTACAAGATCGCCACTCCTAGACACGTAAATACCATGGTACAAAGAAAACAAGGTATGATCGATAGCGGCTCCAATTTCGTTAAGTTTGCGCATACCACCTGTGACGTCATGCGCCAGACAAAAAATATCCATATTGTTCAATTGCCACTAATAAAAAAAGACCTAAAATAGGGAAGAATTAGGACATAACCCCAAAAGTTATGTCAAATCATGCAGCTTGACATTTGAAAAATTATTTTCACATTTATTTTGTCATCTGTTTGACAATTTGAAATTGGCGCGCGGAGCTTGCCGACCAATGGTGCCGTTTATCACCTGTGACGTAATGACCAACCTGCGCGATATCATATCTTGTATTCGTAAATACCGATCCAAGACTGTTGCTTGCCGATATGGTATAATTTTAGGTTTTAAGAGTTACTATTAATTAGGTTAATTCTGTGGTACTAATTCAGAATCCGATATTTCAATAGACAAATAATGTTAACATATCGGGTTCTGCCTTAATACCACAGAATTATACTCATAAATATTTTAGAATTGGTGCAAGAAAAGGAAGTAATAAGGAAGGAAAGTAGTAAGAAAGCCTCTGAACAATCTGATGAGAATGATATTGTATTTACAATTGACGATGAAGATGTAGAAGAAGCTCAACCAGTAGAGGATCCCCTAAAAGATGTTGAAATAAATATTGATAAGGTAAAAAAGATGTTTGATAAAACACAAAATAAAAAAAAAGAACATAAAATTAACAGTGTAAAGTCTGTCCAAGTTGAATGATTTCAACAAACATCCTAAAATTGACAGAAATCATAATTTACCTGTGAATTAAAATAACAGACAACTCTGTCACTATTATATATCTTGTTATTTGGCAGACTTTGAAAACAAATTTTGAATATTTTGCTATAGGACTGTAAAAGTGTGAAATAAAAAATAGTCAATAATTAGTTTTTGTTTGTTTTTTTTAACTCTTTTTTTTCTTAAATACAAAAGTAACTTATTTATTTGTTATAGGAAAAGATAATAAACATAATACACTCATCTCTAAGCGACAGTTCTAATTCTCCTGAAAAACCTGCTTCTTCATCAGAAAAACTATTCGCATGGAAGTCGATGAGAGAAAAACCTCAACACCAAACGTAAAAAAGCGTAAATTAGTGGAAGGAGACAAACCCGAAACGATGGATAAAATAATAAAAATCGTTTCGACCGAAATCATTCTCGCCAAAGGGTCAGATAAGGAGAATCAAAATAAAAACGAATCTCCGTTATTGCAGAAAAGTCTCGAATCGCAGAAAAATCTGAAGCATTCTTCGACGCACACCTCTCCAAGCGGTTCGACCAGAAGTTCACTGCACGAAGCCCCATTCGAAATAAAAAGCGAGCCGGAATCTGAATCGGAAGTTGGCAACGTTCTGTACATGGAGGCCAAGAAGAAGTATCTTTCGGCTTTGAACATTTTGGAAAAATCCGATCAATTGACCAGCAAACCGAAGACAAATAATGAAATTCGAACTCGGTCAAAAACTGAAGAAAAAAGAGAACAAGGAAGGGTAAAGTATTTACTAGGTCAATTGATCCAGTTATATATTTTATTGATTAATGATTTCAGATTATTGATAATCTAACAAAGATTATCGATGAGGTCGCTGTAAATTATAGCGCCAATCACGAGAATGACGGAGAACCGCCCGTGAAGAAAAAAATTGTTGCTGTAAATTCGGTATCTGCCAGTGATAATTGCGAAATTTTTGTTAAATCGTTTGCAAAAATTGGTAAGTTGGTTTTGCAAGTTTCTGGGAAAAGATCAGATAAACGTGTAGAGTGGTCGCAATTAAAGAAGAGGCAGAAGCGTCATCGCGAGCTTGGATATTTTTATTCTAACGCTGTAAAATAATATTTCGAATATTATTTCATCCTCAGAGCCAGGAGCGTCATTATATTAATGACGCTCCTGGCTCCTTTTTTAGTTGCAGCCACTCTATCTTCAAAGATACTACAGGGTGTGCCAGAAAAATCGCAACAAATAGGATTTCTTTATTGTTGAGTTAATAACAAAAGTTTAGCCAACGGCCATACAGAAAGCGATTTTTACGTTTTTTGCGCGAAGCGTCTTTTGCGACTAAAACAAAATTACAGGATTATATAGAAGTGGCCCGACCAAAAGTGTGTAGCGTTCGGCGTGTCAAAGACGCAAATGAAAACGAATCAGTTTGTTTTCTGTAGCGTCTTTAGCGATTTCGAAGATGAGACCCCGTCATAGGCGGGCGTAATATTTAATAATACAATAAAAATAAATTAAATGGTATGCATTTTTTTCATTTTAGGATATTATCTAAAAATGTTTTTGTAGAGAACATCTACTGTTTAGGAAGATTCTATTAAATTGACGGATTTGAAGGACTTGTTTGAAAAAGTGTAGTTTGAAATGTTGAAAAAGTAATAAATTAAAAGAATTATATTTTTTTACGCTTAAAATAATTTTTTGTGCGTAAAAAGTGTTTTTTTACGCGTAACAAATATTTTTTTTTACATGTAACAAATAGTTTTTACGGGTAACAAATAGTTTTATACGCATACTAAATAGTTTTTAAGGGTAAAAAATAGTTTTATACCCGTAAAAAATAGTTTTTACGCATAAATATAGTTTTTACGTATAACAAATAGTTTTAAATAGCTTTTTAAACGCAAAAAATAGTTTTTAATTTACAAATAAATTTTTAACACGTAAACAATAGTTTTTACAGGTAACAAATAGTTTTATACCCGTAAAAATAGTTTTTTTAAGCGTATATATAGGTTTTTACGTGTAACAAATCCTTTTTTTACACGTAATAATTTGATTCACCTGTTTCGCTAGCCCGTGTCGCGACGTTGAATTTTTAATTACTATATTATAATTATTACACACAAGTAACCAAAAAACTATAACATATAAACTTATACACAAATAAACTAAAATTCCTAAAATAAATAGCAGTAGATTGCGTTTCTCGTCGAATATCCAGCCCGTTTAACGATCGATCCGAGCATATATTTCATCTTCGTCTTTTCAATGCTAACCGCGCCGATCTCACCTATCTCTTTCTCAAAGTATTGATTGTTGAACGGGCCGGGAATTCCAAAAGCTTTTTCGTTACTAATCGACAGCTTGATAGAAACTGGAAACCTGCCGCTTCTTTTGCGTGTTTTTAATGGACACAAATCGAAATAAAAGCTTCAAACGGTAAAATCGCAAAAGCGCTTCACACGCAAAAAAGCAAAAATCGCTATTTTTGTGGCCGTGGGCTTATACCGAATTTCTTCAGCATATCCAGCGCCGACGGAAAGTGTCTGGCAGTATTGATTATTAATGTTTAACGATGTTTTCTAAAATATAAGTCAAACTCAGCACTGAGACTTCAGAAAAATGACTTCCGTTTCAGTGGCGCGCATATAATGTAGGCAAAAAGGCGTTGCCTACCCCAGACAATATCATAATTTCTCTTTATCCACGACTCGTCTATATGTGATTATTATACATGAGTTTATGAAATAATAATAATATTCATTATTCACCACTTCCACAGATATCTCGATACAAACTCCAAACAAGCTCGATCCAAACCGGCTTGGAATGCGATTGTACGCACAAAATAAAAACTTATATTAATATTATCTAAATTTTTTTGATAGTCCTGGATAAATTATTGTATTCTACTCGCATATAATGGCTGTTATTCGCTTGGATACGTGTGTAGCCAAGCTAACAAGTATGCTAGGCTTTTGTGCATACACTCAATGCACATACGGCCGCTTTACGGTTCGCAATTTTACTTGCTCGCAAGAAAAGTTCCAGCAATTTTCCTTGCCGCAATTAAATTGCAATTCACTTTACAGTCAGCAATTATTATTGGAATATTATCGTCGCATACGGAATGATCAACTTAAAGCAAATTATGCGATTATCAGCTGCATCGTGTCATTTGCTTTTTTTGCTATTTATATGGTTTTGTAACAAATTGCTCGCCATTTTATGGCAAATTCTGTGACTCTGTAAACCTTAATCAAGCCTTAATCCAAGCACGTGTGTTTGGAATTTTGGGTGTGGCTTAACACATCAAGATCGGGCTAAACTTTAGGAAGATTTCTGAAATAGAATATATATTTCCTTCGGCCGCACACCTTTACCCGATCCCTGAGAGCGACCCGAACAGTACACCGTAATAGACTGTTAAAAGCAATTCCTTTATGATGCGAACTTTTTGGCACACCGAGTATAACAATGCCAATGTTTTTTTTTAATTCAGTTTTTGGATGTCTAGAGATGTGCAGATTATGCACTCGCATAATTGCATAATTTTTAAAAAGGCTTTAAAACGGTTTAAAGTTGATACCTGAGTCATCACTAAACCTTCCTGAGGACGAATACTTCCCCCATAATAACGCATAATCGGTCGTTTTGCAGCATAATGCGCAAAGTGCATAATTATCGCATATATTATTTATTTTCTGTTTAAAAAAAATAACCATTTTCAACATCTTTATCAACACCTTTAACGAAAATACCGACCTTTATGCACTTTTTTACGTAAAAACATAAAATTACTTTTCTAGGAGCATGATAAGTAACTTCTTAACGCATAATAGCCGCATAATGAGCCATTTTTGGGCGCATAAAAGCCGCATAATATAACAAAATTTGTTCGCATAAAACAGGGGGTGTAAAATGCATAATCTGCACATCTCTATGGATGTCGTTTGTCGATATCATCCCTTGTCTTGGTAAACAGACTTTACTAATATATTTTAATTTTTACAGCTCCAGATTCTACCGAAAATAACAACAAAATCACTTTTCCTACTCCACCGCTTAAACACAGAGCTCGTAAATCCTTTCCTCAACCAAACTACAGTAAAAATACAATTAAAGTTACGCCAAAACTTGTTAAGGAACCACCCAAAGTTCCCCCAGCTCCAGTTGTAGTGCAAAGTAAACCTAATGCAGACACTCCAAAATCGGTTTCTAAGACTACAACAGGTAAGTTTACCTTGCGTCGCGCATCTATAGCCCCTAGAATAAAAAACTTAAGAATTTTGTTTAAATGCAGATTTAAAGTTTGTTCTAAGATGAATTTCAGGAAAATATTTTGTGAGTGGATCGAGATGGGTTGGGTTAGTTTAGCTACCACCTATAGAAGTTAAAATATTTTCCTGAAATACATATTCCCATAAAAAATTCCCAAGTTTTTTATTCTATGAGCTACAGATGCCCGACGCACTATTCCCGAACCCTGTACAGGGTGTCCCATTTTGGTTGAAATTATACAGTATCTCCGTTATTAGTGAAGATAGAAGGGTGCTGTTTGCACTAATCTGTTCCACTTTTTTAACAAATGGAAGATGCCGTAAACAAAATTTTCATAGCCCTCTTCGTTTCTGAGGTACAGGGTCTTTTTGAAAATTTTGCAATTTGGGACACAACCCTGTATCTCTGTTATGATTAAGGGTATTGAGAATATACAGGGTGTCCCAGAAATGAGTGCAGATATTTTAAGGGGTGGTAGATCTGGTCAAAATAAACATATTTTCTCTTTACCATTTTTAAAATAAATTGAAAATAACCGAGTTATTTAACTTTGAAATTTTAAAAAAATAATCGCTACATTTTGAGACCCGCCGGCAGATATCGCCAACTACATCCAATTGCCCGGATCAAGCCCGGATTTCAGTTAATTCGACGCACTGTGTTGCCATAGGGACAAGAAAGTATATGTTAAACCTGAGGAATTTGCAGAGATGCATTACATTTTTAAGATTGTGATATTACATAAAATAAATTAAAAGCTAAATGTTTAATAATGTGTTAAAAAATGTGTTAAAAAAGTTAAGTTAAAAAACTTACCCAATATTAAAAAAGATACTTATGACAGATCGATGTAACTGTGACAGTTCTCTTTTTCGATATACACTTAACTAAAATACGCTTCACTATGCTGCTTTACTTGTACATGCTGTAGTTATAATAACTACTAAAATAACAGTCCCCATTTTTAACACATTATTTTTATATAGGCCTCATCACAATTTGAATCACTGATTTACAAAACACCTTGAAAAGCACACATTACTTTGAATACCTTTCTGAATGAATAAATGTTGAGAATTATTGTCTCTTACCGCCACTTTCCGAACTACTTTCAATCTAAGAAAATACATGTTTCACTCAACAATTTTAAATACGTATTTTGTTTTTTCACTATTTTTTCTATGTATTTCAACAATTCCATCGATAGCCCAATCGTCGCGTCGGCCGCCGGCCAAGAGAGCGGCGCATCACTGGGAACTGCTCCTTTGTCGCGCCGCCGTGTCGAGCTTGCGTCATGCGAGGTTGCCGTAGTTTCAACAATTTCAAATTCAAGACACTCGAAGCAATCAAATTCTTATTAAATTTTAAAAATAAAACAGAAAAACATGAAAGGAAACAAACAAAACACAAATGAATTGGTTATTGATAAGGTCACAAAAAAGAAATTTCTAAAATGTTTATCGTAATTCAGGATTCAATACATCGAAAACAGCCCGACGAATAATCAATTCATTTTTGTTTTGTTTATTTCCTTTCATGTTTCTCTGTTTTATTTTTAAAATTTAATACGAATTTGATTGTTTCGAATGTCTTGAATTTGAAATTGTTGTAACTACGACAACGTTGCTGAACGTCGTCTGACGCAAGCCCGCCACGACGGCGCGGCGACCGGCGACTCAAAGCCTTTGAGTCTTGGAACTGGTCCTTTGAGTCAAAGGACCAGTTCACACGCGGCGGTTCTTGGCTGACGGTTAGGCCAGAGAAGAACGACCGGTTAGGCTGTCGATGGAATTGTCGAAATACATCGAAAAAATAGCGAAAAAACAAAATACGTTGTCAATAATTGTTGAGTGAAACATGTATTTTCTTAGATTGAAATTAGTTCGTAAAGTGGCGATAAGAGACAATAATTCTCAACATTTATTCATTCAGAAAGGTATTCAAAGTAATGTACGCTTTTCAAGGTGTTTTGTAAAACAGTGGTTCAAATAAAACAGAGAAACATGAAAGAAAACAAACAAAACAAAAATGAATCGATTATTCGTTGGGCTGTTTTCTAAATTTCTTGAATTGAATTCTAAATTACGATAAACATTTTAGAAATTTCTTTTTGTGACCTGATTGTGAATAATATGAATCATTTTATTAAATTTATTCCACAATAAAGTTATTTTGCAGCATAACAAAGATTTTCGTAAACGTCATAAACGTAATGTTTTAGTTTAATTTTCGGTGGTTTTTGTAAACTAATTATTTCTGGGACACCCTGTATAGAGTATATTTTCCACCTTTGTAAAAATTATCCAAGGTGTCCCAGAAATAAGTGCAAGTATTTTTATTGGCAGTATAGTTCAACCCCAGAAACACGCCTATGAGGTTTTTTCGCGAAAATTTTTTTTGAAAATTCGGAATTTTTCGAAAACATTTTTGGAATCTTTTTTTTAGTTTTTAGTTAAAAAAGATAATTTCTTGATAATATGGCAACATAGGTAGTAGATTAAATTTACAAGAAAGAAAATCCAGAAAGGATCCAGTGGTTCTCAAAATTTGAGAAAAAAGTCATTTTTTTTGGAAATTTTCAAAGTAAAATAATACCGTTATTTTGGACTTATTTGAAAAACAATAAAGAGAAAATATGTTTCTTTATCGAGATCTACCACCCCTTAAAATACTTGCACTTATTTCTGGAACGCCCTGTATATAAGGCAGATATCTTTATTTCACCATTGCGATAAAAAAAAGTACAACAAAATATGATTTAATCTGCTGGTCTATAATAAAATATTTTTGGTACCTTTTATTGCCATTCTAGTCTTTTTGTAATATACCTATGATAGAAAATTAAGAGTAAAAGAAGTATATATTAATTTTTTTCCATTCCTTGTTAAATAGCTATATGCGTTCCTTTAACGACGACTGTAACAACTGCAGCTCCTCAACCAACCTCAAAACTTTCCGTTCCATCGTTGAGCCAAATAGAAGGAGTTCGCCCTACAAATGGTTATTTGATCCTACAACAACCACAACAAGATAACTTGTTATTCATACCGCCAAATTCAAGTTTGAATTACACCAGTACGCTAGGAAATCAAATGGTTTCAATGGTAAGTTGATAATATGTCAATATTTGGTGGATATCCGCTAAAATAATTATTTTTAGACGCCTTGCTTAGTTTCGGCTCCAACGAGTACTGCGTTGAGACAATTTACTCAACCGCCCACTATATGGACGCCCAACGCAGCAGCCGTTCAGCTAAAGCCATCTTTAAACTTGAACAGTTCGCAAAACTATATTCCTCAAGGCGAAAGGAATAATAATAATAATAGTAATAATAATGACAATCCACCTTTACCAAATCTAGCAATTCCAGTTACAACAGCCAATACTACAACAAATATGTCTCTACCTATTATTTGCAGCACCTTAATTGAAAATCCAAATAATAATGGTAAGTCTTAACTAATAGTTATAAGTAAATTAGAAAGTTTATTTAGTAGACCTAAATTACAGGTTGATTTTTTAATTATGTATGTAGAAGGTTTAGGAGGAGGCTATTGTGTGTTCCCCTTTCTTGAGTTATAGCGAGTTATAACATGTTATAGTGAGTTATAACTGTTCATACAGTCTCAGGGCTTTGACAAAAGCCAGTATCTGACACGGCTCCACAGAGGCCAGCTCTCCATCTTCAACATCAGCCGTACCAAAGTTTATAGCACGAACGGTTATTATCGTCTCGGCGCACTTCATTTACCCAGTAGTAGTAATTTTTAGATCTGACTTTAAAGGCTGAAAAAATACTGGAGGACGGTGAGACGAGTATTCGAAAGGAGATTTTCGCGTGTCGACTCCGAACGAAACGCTCTTCGCGAGCAGCGAACAAACGTTACATTACAGCACTCGGCTCAAGTCAATTTCCGTCTTTATACTCCTGCTTTGAAACAACAGCACGGCAGAGTTTCCAGACATTCCACTCGCATCGTCTAATGTCTCTAAAACTTCGTTGATCTATCGGGAACTATTGGTGATCTATAGTTCATATATTTCGGTTGTCATATTTAGGTTGTTTATTTTAACGACTGTTCTATTTTAGCATCATTATCTAAGAACCCTACAAACAGTAACAACACGGAGACTACGAGGGAAGCAGTTACCAATGAAACTGAAAGAGCTGTTACAGCCGAGCCGGAAGTTATATCCCATACCAATCCACCTGATGAGTTTGCAGTTCTAAATAGTTTAGGAGCAGAAAATATTTCGAAAGCTGTCAGTGAAGTAAGTAAAGACTGTTCAACCATCGTTCAACGTCATCATTATTTGTCAAATATGGGTTTTAGAGTGTGTCTGAAATCAGTTCATATTGTTTAGAAAATTTTAAGTACGTTCATATATTATTGATTGAGCGAGTTCCGTTTTTTTTTCAGCATTATTATTTTTTTCTTGAACTCTTCGTCAGTTACGATCCCTTTAATTCCAATCCTTTGAACTTCCTATGTCTAAAGTATCAGCAACTTGCCATATTATTTAAAAACGCTATCAATTTGTATTTTACATAGAAATATTACACCTTTGCATTGTACTTACTTTATATACGGCGTCCACGGGCAAGAGTTTAGTTAGGACAAGAATGTTCTACCAGCGTCTCTTTCTCGAGAAAATAGTCATGGGTAACACTCTAAATTTTCGTGTGTTGATACAGTAACACTGACACCTTTTCCGGTATCAACACAGAGTATCAGCCCGGTTGTGTCATATGACACAGTGCTACATCAGCGATATTTCAGATAAACACACATAGGGTTTCGTGTTTGCGGTTTCCCGCGCTCACTGTCGAGAGACCCGACGGCTGACGCTTGGGACTCCATATTGCCAAATGATGAAAAATTGAGTACTTTGAAATACAAGAAAAATTAAACACACATTTTTGATAATCTAAGGGTAGTTTCATATACAATGTTATGTAATATAGGAGTACAGGTACGCTCTTAAGCATCTTGAAGAGCTAAATTGGTCTTTTAAATTAGAAAATTAGTGCACACATCCTCAATAAAAGGATAGTGGCAACATTGGTTTGCAAAGGTAGTTTGTCACGCAAAATCGGAGATCGGTAATTCCCATAGCACTAAGCACACCACGTGTTTTGTTTTAGTTTTGTTTAGTTTACAGTATTCATATGCATAACCCCGATTACCCTCTTAAATATTTTCTCATAATATCTTTTCTCCCCCTACTAACATTAGCATTGGCAACAACGCGCCGCGACGATGTGTTCATGTGTTGCCTAAACAAAACCGAAACTGAAGGGCATTAAATCGAATCCATATTGTAAAAAACTACTCTCATTTTTCAACACCCCTGACACACTGAAAGGTGTCAGCACAAAAGTGCCATACAACAGAGTGTTACACATGGCTACGAGAAAAATAAGCTTAGCAATGAGCTCTTGTTAATTTTGATTAAATCTTTAAGGCATTTTTGTAATAAAAAAATTGAATTTTGTTTGACAGCAACAATCGGTTTTTAATTTTGACATTTATCGATGTCCGTCAATAAAATTATAACCCCAAATCAATTGACAATGACAATTACTAAAAAGAATATGCAGTAATTTACGAAATGCCGTAATGACGTCACCAATCTTTCATCTGGGTGTCAAGTGATTGAGAGAGTTCGACAATACATGACGTGACGTTGAACGATGGCTGAACATTCTGTACATTTCTAGTAAAGTATCAGCAATATTAAATGTCTTTTTCGGATGCCTAATAATCACTTAAAAATAATGTTCTTTACATTTGTAATGGTTTTGTTCCTCATTTTTTTTAGTATTTTGTCAGTGAAACAGAATTGGTAAAATGTACCTTTCTTCAAACCTAAATTCCATGGATTTACAGCAATGTATTCTGAATTTTGATAGATAAAAACTGATAGCCAACATTTGCTGATCATGTTAACATATTTAGGAAACCGGGCGATCATAGTTTAAATAAATAATTGTAATATTTTCTTTTTTAGATTATTAAAAAACCACCACCGAAATTGAAACCTCGACCGCCTGGGGCTTTAAGTCAGCAATTTAGTGAAGGTTTGCCAAGTTCTGCAGGTCCAGTTACTTCTAGAATAAATTCTGTGGCGCATAAAGTAAGTGAAACATTAGTATAAGTCCTGTTATGGAGAGAAAATGTAATTAGAGATACAATTAATTAATTTTTATAAAATGTCAGATTAATAATACTATGTTTTAAAAAAAGCAATAATAGGGCTAGAAAATCATACACAAATATAAAAATCTGATTTTTTAATGTTGTTACTTATACAAAGTAGATTGTTGATTGTATGGGAGGGGGAAGTTTATCACCGCGGCCTTATAGTTCTATTGTCCACCTTTCGTGAGTTATAACTCATCATACAGTCTCAGGGCTTTGACAGAAGCCAGTATCTGAGACGGTTTTACACAGGTTAGTTCTCCGTCTCCGATTCATATCAAAGTTTATGGCATTAATGGTTCCATCCCATGGTCGGCTGGTACCTAAAGTAGGAGGACTTTATTTTCTTTGCCTATTTTGTTAAGTTTCTCTATCAGTATGATTTTATTTTCTACAATCTACAACAAAGTATAAGTGCGAAAAATTCAGCTGATTTTTTTAATAAGGGAAGGTTTTAGTATATACAGAGTGGCTCATTAGTGCGAGGAAGTGCAATATCGTCGTCGATGTCGAAAATATGGCAAAAAGTTTTATACAGATTTTGCATGCTTTAGAGAGGAGCATAGGAGCATATCCTAAAAATATTTTGTGATATACAGGGCGTGCCAAAAAAGTTATGATAATTTTTTTAATTGCACCCATTGTACAGATTTGGATTTAGCATAAAATTCTGCATATAGTACGCTATTTTTATATCCAGCACTATGCGGTGTTGCCATTTTATTTCATATTTACTGAAACTTAGGTTAAAAACACTATATTTGAAAAATGGTTAAAAACTAGAGTGAATTGAACTTTATTAATACTTAACTAGATTTTCTCAAACATCAAGGAGAACAGATTAAACTCGCAAAGAATTTACATTTTCTTATACAGGGTAATTTTGGGTGCAATTTTATAGAACTAAAAGCTTCATCATAATTTTTTTTGGTGACACCCTGTATACAACAAAATATTTTTAGGATATGCACCATTACAAACCGTGCACCATCTGTTTAAAACTTTTCTTCATATTTTTGTCATAAACGACGATATTGGACTTTCTCGCATTAATGGGTTATCCTGTTTATACAGGGTGGTCCGAACTGTATTCCGGAAACTTCGGCAGCATATCCCCATCACTAACCTACATATGCTCACAAAATTTCATTTTAATACAAACTGTCGCTCTCCTTGGAGCCCCCGCGGCGTATGAGAGGCGCCCCCCTGTATTATGAATAAAAACTGTATAACTCGCATTAATGGGTTATCCTGTTTATACAGGGTGGTCCGAACTATTTGGATGGAAATTATTGGTATCTGGGAATTTTTTAACATGAGAAATTTGATTTTGTTGTCAATATGACTCCTACTTGTAGAGAGCACCACTTACATATTTTTGAACTGGTTTGAAGAGTAATAACTTTTCGTCCGTACCTGTATAAAACTACGCAGTAAAAAAATAAACATTTACGACATTTTTTACGTAAAAAAAGTCTCTTGGTAAAAATCGCTGCGAGTAATGGTTCTTCGAGATATTCGGAATCTAAATTATCAATACCTGTCATCATTGACATAAATTAAACATGTTGACTAAGTAGTTATTATACTGAAATAAAAAAAATCATGAAATGTTTTTGTGCCAAAAGTTCAACAAAAACTGTTTTATCATCGTTTTTTCAATGAAAAAATTATGATTAATTTAAAAAATAAAAAGTTCCCAATCTTATCATTTCAGTCAAATAACTATCTACTCAACATGTTTATTTTTTGTCAATAATGAGGTGTATTGACCATTTCCATTCTAAATATCTTGAGATCGGTTGCTCGTAGCGATTTTTACCAAGAAACCTTTTTTACGTAGAAAACGTCGTAAATGTATATTTTTACTCATTAGTTTTATACAGGTACGGACGAAAAGTTATTACTCTTCAAACCAGTTAAAATATATGTAGGTGGCGCCCTCTACAAGTAGGAGTCATATTGACTTCAAAATCAAATTTCTCATTTCAAAAAACTCCCAAATACCAATTTTCTTCCAAATATTGACCTTACTTCAGAAATGATTTGGAAAAAATTGAAATAAAAATGAAACTTCTACACCCTGTATCTTCGATTAAGCATTTTTGGTCATACATTTATACGAACTTTTTTACTTACTTCTATCTGAAGAATATGCTGCCAAAGTTTCCGGAATACAGTTGGGACCACCCTGTATATAAAGGGTTTATCATAAAGAAAAAATTTTTCAAAAAATATCCCATAATTTTTTTTTTAAATCCCTCTACATTTATGAAACTTTTTCTTCAATAACTCGTTTTATTAAATGTGGATAATTTATTTATATAATGTTTTCTTTTGCAGTTGAGTGATTATTTTCGAGGTATGCTAATTGAAACTTTGGAAGATTTGGGCAAGACGAGTAATCCGGAAGCGACGATAGCCAATTTAAAGTTGGAAATTGAAACTTTAAGGCACAGACATGCCATCGAATTATCAGAGATCGAAAAGAACATGTGTCTAATATTAAAAGATGTACAGCGTAGTATTGTAGAGGATAGAGACAGATTGATTGAACAGACAAGAGCTGTCTGCGAAACGGAAGCTATTAAAAGAATAGAGGAAGCAAAATCAAAACAATGGTGAGTTTTATTTGTTTAGTCTGTCCGCCTATAAAATCCTTGACAGTGATAGATGTGCCTCTTATTTTAAGTTCAAAGTAGTTTGGTTTGGTTTAGAATGCAAAGTGAGAAATTAAAATATTTGAAATTTTAGTGACTTCAAAATACAGGGTGGCGCCTCTCATACAAAGCGGAAGCTCCAAGGAGAACGGTAGTTTATATCAAAATGAAATTTTGCCAGTATATGTAGGTTAACTGAAAGCATTTTATAAAAATACAGGGTGGCCGATCTCATTTTCACAAAATGTGAAATATGTCAAAATCCTTAGATTGTAGGTATATGCTTCTTTAATAAAACTTACCTTTATTTTTTTCCTAAAATCCGAAAATCAATTAATATATAGGGTGTTCCATTAAAAAAACACAACTTTGATGTGTAACTTTTTTTGGGGACACCCTGTATAATTCTATATACAGGGTGGCCCATCGAAAACGTTCCGCAAGACATAACGGACAAGGTATATTTTTTTCAAAAAATCCAAAAACATGTCAATTTTGTTTGTGAGAGGGACAACTTTTGCCCCAAAAATGATTGCAAAATCTTCAACCCTCTAAGCGGGAGTGTCATCCCCCAACTTTTTTCAAATGGGAAGGGGGATCAAGTGGTACCGCAATGAAAAGGGCTTTCTATTCTCTATACTTTCCCGCTTCGCTTTTGAAAATCGGTCGAGTCATTGAGAAAATATGAATGATTGAAATTTGAAAAGTTTATTTAAACATTTATAAGAGTAAATGATAAGGGTAAATTATTTCGACCAATTTGAGGTTTTTTCTTATTATTTCTAGATGTTTACGCATTTTTTCACTTGCCGCAAGGTTGAACGATCAGGTGCGGTATTTGCTAGATAGCTGTTCTGTGACTTGTGCGTTGAAGTTCTTCTCAATATCGTTAAACTTCTTAACAATTATGGTGTACTCAATTGTAGAAAAAGTGGAAATAATCGAACTTTATTTTAATAATAATGAATGTATCGGGTTGCGCACATATTCAACGAACGCTATCCTGACAAACACCTTTATGGCAAAATTGTTCGCGAGTTAGTAGCAAAATTTCGCGAAACTCTGGTTCCGTTATGAATAAAAAGAGGCAGAGCCTGTAGTAAATGAAACTATGGAGGTATTCGTATTGGGCCAAGTTGCCATGCATAGTACGCTGAGTACAAGAAAATTAGCCAATGAGACCGGCGTGAATCGTACAAGTGTCCAAAGGATATTAAAAAAGTTCCACCCGTACAAAATTCAGTTGGTACAAGAACTCAAAGCAGACGATTTTGATTGTCGCTCAAACGAGTGGCGAATGATAATAATTTCTTATTTAATGTGTGTTTTTTCGGATGCAACAACTGTCGGTACTGGCGCCGCAATGGAAATATTTTTCTATTCTCTATATTTCCCCGCTTCGTTTCTGAAAATCGGTCGAGTCATTTAGAAAATATGAAGGATTGAAATTTGAAAAGTTTATTTAAACATTTATCAGAGTAAATTATAAAGATAAATTCCTTCGACCAATTTGCTGTTTTTTCTTATTGTTTTTAGATGTTTACGCATTTTTTCACTTGCCACAAGGTTGATGATCAGGTGCGGTAGTTGCTAGATAGCTGTTCTGTGACTTGTGCGTTGAAGTTCTTCTCAATATCGTTAAACTGACTAACTAACCTAACCTAACCTAACCTACAATAGAATTTCCAAAAATACCAGCCCACACGTTCAATTTCTGAGGGTTTTGTGTGTGCACCTCGTGAAAAACCCTGAGGTTGTCCTCAGCCCAGTACCGACAGTTGTGCCGATTAACTACACCGTTCAAAAAGAAAGTACACTCATCCGAAAAAACACACATTAAATAAGAAATTATTATCATTCGCCACTCGTTTCACTCATAGTTTCACAAAATTGCAAGGGACAATCAAAATCGTCTGCGTTGAGTTCTTGTACCAACTGAATTTTGTACGGGTGGAACTTGTGTTTTTTTTAATATCCTTTGGACACTTGTACGATTCACACCAGTCTCATTGGCTAATTTTCTTGTACTCAGCGTACTATGCATGGCAACTTGGCCCAATACGAATACCTCCATAGCTTCATTTACTACAGGCTCTGCCTCTTTTTATTCATAACGGAACCAGTTTCGCGAAATTTTGCTGCTAACTCGCGAACAATTTTGCCATAAAGGTGTTTGTCAGGATAGCGTTCGTTGAATATGTGCGCAACCCGATGCATTCATTATTATTAAAATAAAGTTCGATTATTTCCACTTTTTCTACAAGTGAGTACACCATAATTGTTAAGAAGTTTAACGATATTGAGAAGAACTTCAACGCACAAGTCACAGAACAGCTATCTAGCAAATACCGCACCTGATCGTTCAACCTTGCGGCAAGTGAAAAAATGCGTAAACATCTAGAAATAATAAGAAAAACCTCAAATTGGTCGAAATAATTTACCCTTATCATTTACTCTTATAAATGTTTAAATAAACTTTTCAAATTTCAATCATTCATATTTTCTCAATGACTCGACCGATTTTCAAAAGCGAAGCGGGAAAGTATAGAGAATAGAAAGCCCTTTCATTGCGGTACCACTTGATCCCCCTTCCCATTTGAAAAAAGTTGGGGGATGACACTCCCGCTTAGAGGGTTGAAGATTTTGCAATCATTTTGGGGGCAAAGTTGTCCCTCTCACAAACAAAATTGACATGTTTTTGGATTTTTGAAAAAATATACCTTGTCCGTTATGTCTTGCGGAACGTTTTCGATGGGCCACCCTGTATATAGAATTATACAGGGTGTCCCCAAAAAAAGTTACACATCAAAGTTGTGTTTTTTTAATGGAACACCCTATATATTAATTGATTTTCGGATTTTAGGAAAAAATAAAGGTAAGTTTTATTAAAGAAGTATATACCTACAATCTAAGGATTTTGACATATTTCACATTTTGTGAAAATGAAGAGTAAATTTTAAATTTCTATAACAGCTACCTAAATTTTAGTTGACCTTGTATAGCCTCTTATTTAATTACAGTAACCATTGTATGTTAAACCAAATGAAATTTGACCCGAAAAGTTATACAGGGTGAGACAAAATAAATATGGAACATTAGTCACTTTTAAAAGCAAGTTACTCCTTTATTTTAAATGGAACATCCAGTATATTTTTCCGGTATTCAATTTATGTATCTTCAAAATATTATTAGTTTGCAGACAAAGATTTTCCTAGATATTTTAATTTTTATGATTTTGCGTCAGTAGATCTTTATTATTTGAAAAAATCTAGGTGGCTGTGTGATATACCTTTTGTTAATTTAACAAAAATTAAAGATTGTAGAGTAAAATACTCAACGGTAATAAAAAGATACACGTTTTAAACATATTTTAATTATTATAGAATTAAAACTAGATATGAATCTATAATTATGTGACAAAAATTAGCTAGATGAAACCAAATGCTCAAAATGCTTCCTTTCCTGTTAACTGCATAAAATGATTGCCTTTTCAAAAGGATCTTTTCATTTAAAAAGGCATTATGTGGAGTTCTACCTCGAAAAGCAGCTACAATAATTTCTCTCACGTTGTTGACAATAGTTGGTCGAGTTTTGTAAACACTGTCTTTAACATATCCCCGTAAAAAAACCAGACTAGATAAAATCAGGAGCATTTTGGTGAATGCACACTGCATAGAAGAGAACTAATAGAATCATATCAATTCTCTCTGATGTTGGATAAGTTTGCAGTTTCGGCAAATTTCTGAGAATTTTTTTTGGTTTTAACTGACACAAATTACTAACACTACACTAAAGTTTCAAAAAGAGTCGTACTATATCTACAAATTCATTTACCCACTAGTAGATATAAAAGACATTTTTGGTAAACTCTGTCTCAAATAGTTCCTGAAAAATAAAATTAATTTTTTTAAAAGGTCCGATTTAATTTATATCTCCGAAACTAAAGTTTCAAAAAGAGTCGTACTATATCTACAAATTCATTTACCCACTAGTAGATATAAGAAACATTTATGGTAAACTCTGTCTCAAATAGTTTCTGAAAAATAAAATTAATTTTTTAAAAGGTCCGATTTAATTTATATCTCCGAAACTAAAGTTTCAAAAAGAGTCGTACTATATCTACAACACACTGACTATTTCTGACACTATTTATTAAAGTTGGACTAATTGACTGCTATGTTGAAGTAACGTCAGACATCACAGCCACCTAGATTTTATCAAATAATAAAGATTTACTCATATCCAATCATATAAATGAAAATATCTAGGAAAATTTTGGTTTGAACATTAATAGTATTTTAAAGAGACATTAATTCTCCATTGAATATCGGAATAATATACTGGGTGTTCCGTTTAAAATAAAAGAATAACATGCTTTTAAAGGTGACCAATGTTCAATATTAATTTTGTCTCACCCTGTATAACTTTTTGGGTCAAGTTTTAATTTGATTTAAAGTACAATAGTTAATTTAATTACATATTAGGCTATACCGGGTAAATTCCAATCTAGGTAGCTTTTATTGTAATTTAAAAAATAGTTCTTTATTTCTAGAAAATGTTAATTATATCAAAAACCTTACATTTTAGTCATATGCTTCTCTTATAAAACTCACCTTTATTTTTCTCCCAGAATCCGAAAATCAATTAATATATAGGGTGTTCCATTACAAAAAACATAACTTTGATATGTAACTTTTTTTGGGGACACTCTGTAGGACTCTCTATATTTTTAAAAAGTGCTCTGAATTAACCTACATATGCTCACAAAATTTCATTTTAATACAAACTGTCGTTCTCCTGGCGTATGAGAGGCGCCACCCTGTATTATGAATAAAAACTGTATAAAACTGAAAAAATCTAATTGAGTTATAGTACATGATCCGGCTGCAGGATTATTACACTCATGTCACTCATCATATTTTTAATCAAAACCTAATTTTTAGGTATAGTTATGAATAGGGGAATATACTTGTAACAGGGTGCCGATCAAAAAGTTGCTTCAAATATATTTAATTAATAATAATAATAATTGATTTTGGAGACGACATTACGTTCATAACATTTTTTTATCATTTATATGTCAAATTAAAGCTAACAGCACAGAATATCTAGCTACGCAACAGAAAAATACTCGTAATGAAAGAGCTAAAATTGCACAAATAAAATACTAGATGGCGCGACAATATCATAATCAGAATATAATTGGAAATTTTCAACTTTCGGTTTTGGATTGACGTAGATCAACGGCACGTCGACGGCCTTGATTAAATACGCACAGTTGCCAGATTCAAAAAGACTTTAACTGGCATCCCATTCTTTTTCTGGTGTATAATAATTTCTTTCTATTCTTCGTTTCCTGTCAGATACACTTATATTAATTATTCGTTTGGCTTTTAAAATAGTTTTAATTTTAAGTATATTATTAGAAAACATTGCTCTCAAAATACATTTTTAATATACACTACTTTATTATGTTAACTAAGAAAATAACTTTAATTACCTTTAAAATTAATAATATACAGAGCAATTGATAGTGATATTTATTAATGCTTAGTAATGAAATATACGTTTAATAAAATAATGGAAATGATTTATTAAAATGCAGTACAAAAAATGTTAATTGACTAAAAAAATAACATAATAACAATTTTTTTTCTGTTTGCCACGTTATTTAGATAGACCTAGGTAGATTTTAAAAAGTGACACAGGTACAATTAATAATATATTAGTTCGGCATAAAAATTGCTGTCACGACATCGTAGAATAAATTAAAATTCGTAAAATAAATTAAAATTATTAATTAAACAAATCTTTATAAAGAAACGCATGTATATCAAATTTGGGCCCAATCGAACCGAAATGGTATCGTAATATGGTACAACATTATGGTACCCCTTGATATGCTTCATGGTACCATAATATTGCAATGTCATCAAAAATACGCAAGTATAATCAAATATGAGCCCAATCGAACGTCAGGAAGTGGTATCGTAATATGGTACTACATTATGGTACCCCTTGATATGCTTCATGGTACCATAATATTGCAATGTCATCAAAAATACGCAAGTATAATCAAATATGCGCCCAATCGAACGTCAGGAAGTGGTACCGTAATGTGGTACTATATTAAAGTACCACTTTATATGCACCATAGTCCCATCATATTACAATGTCACCGAAGATACTTACTAAACCAAGTATAAGTCCAATCGCACGCCAGGAAATAGTATCGTATATGGTACTATTATGGTACCTCTTGATATGCTTCATGGTACCATAATATTGCAATGTCATCAAAAATATGCAAGTATATATCAAATATGAGCCCAAATGAACGTCAAGAATTGGTATCATAATATGGTACTATACAAGGTACCTCTTTATATGCTCCATGATACCATAATAATACAATGTCACTGAAGCTACGTAATATACCAAGTTTAAGCCCAATCGAACGCCATGTATCGTAATATGATACTATATTACGGTATCATGAAAAATACGCAAGTATATATATCAAATAACGTCTGATACCGAAAAAAACGGCGTCCAGTTGGCTGGGAAACGACGATCGATGATATTTCCCATATAAATTTACACATAAAATGACAGCGATTTTCATTTCATAGCCATCGCTAACGCCGTGTTTTCCCGATCATACGGCATGAACACAATCGAACGTCAGGAAGTGGTGTCATAATAGTCGAATTACAATCAAAATTCAGGATTCAGTTAGAATCAAACGTCAGGAAGTGATTTTAATTCAGCTCGCAAGATTTAACTCCAACTAATATGGCAAGTTAAATACTTAAACGTTTGAAAAAAAGAGCTCTAATCTATTTTAATATGTTTAAATGATGTAGCAAATTTGAAGGTAGGCTTTATCAGGAAGTATTACAATATAAATTACACAATTGCAACACTGCATAAAATTCTTTTAAATTTTGTTTGTAGAAAACTGTTTTCTTTTAAATTTATCGCCCTCTATTATGTAGTAGCGAAACTACCGCATCAAAATATCTGATTTGTAATAAATATACTTTACAAAATATACTTTTGATACCTACGATTTTATACATGTAACGAGGCTTCTGTTGCGTAGCTAGATATTCTGTGCTAACAGGCAACATTTGTCATGACAACCCACATAAAGCATTTTTATCAGGCAACATAGACTAATGTCATGTACTAGAGAGATAGATGGGATACTGAAATAAAAAAAAACTAATGGAGAGGTTTGGCATAAATAATTTTAGCGTTCCGTTACTTATTAACGCTAACTAAAAGGGTAACGTTATTCAAGCGCAAAATTGTTCCTTGTAAAATATAAAATAATAAATATAGACTTTTTACTACATTTCACGTTTTATTAGATAATTAGAAGTAAACATAGTCAAAACAAGAATGAAATTATGAATACATGCATTTTAAACATAACAATAGAGCACATAGCGCCTATTTTTTGGATTTAATAATAAATAAATAATTATAATATAGTAAAAATATTATACTACTAATTAACTGTTAACCAACTTTGCACTTACTTATTTATGTTTAAACTATTTTTATTTCGTTTATAAATTTATTATTTCTAAAATATCTTTAATAAAGTTTAATATTTTATATAACACGAAAATAATGATCGACTGTAAATATCGAAATGCACAAACTATAAACACAAATCACCGAATTTCTCGACAAATCAACAATATCTGAATTAATAATTATTGAAATAATGATTTTTAAAAATAACTTGATGAACCACCAACATTTTGTCAACTAGACCAAAACTTGACAGTCATGTCATCTTCATATTAAATTAGAAACCTATACTTTAATGCCTTTTGCGTCGCATGGCGATTGAAAGAAACTAAATTAGTAGTTCTGTAAAATTACTATTGAGTGTCTTAAGCCTATCAGCCCATTTGTTTCTTTGATGCGACCGTATGCTGTCTTTTTTTAACCATGATATAAAATTATAAGAAAATGGAAAAAGTAACAGGGTATAATACAAATTGCCGTAAAATACGGAATCCTTAGTATAATATGTCATATGATTTCTGCAAACTCATTTTTTTTATTATATTTTCAATATCCCCAGAAGTGATTAAGTTTAACGAATTTATTAACGTGTATTATTATTATTTTAGGTGTGCGAATTGTTCAAAAGAGGCCCAGTTTTACTGTTGTTGGAATACCAGTTACTGTGATTATCCTTGCCAGCAGAAGCACTGGCCAACCCACATGAACAAATGCACGCAAAATATTAACCAACCACAAAGCACTCCCACGACGATGTTACGGCCCAACACGCAACAGCTGATCTTAAGGCCGGCGAATCCTCCCCCTAAGGGAGGAAATCTCGGGGTGAGTTACTATATTCTTCAACATAGTTCAAAAACATCTTAGCTTTACTTGGTCTAGTTGTTAATATTCTCATGCTTCGTTCAGAACCTCGAAATTAGTGGAATTAATTTGTGAATTCAATTATATTTTCCACTTAAGAGTTTACATTCATTCACAATGTTAAAAAAATCTAATTAGAATTAATAGAATATCCTAGCTAAATCTTGCGGTAATCACTTGTATCGCAGAATATACCATAAGATTTTTGGGAATAGTTTTGAATATCTTAAGACGGAAAAAATAATTTACAAAAAGTATAATTTAAATAGGTTTTTATGATTTTCTGCTGATTTTTTTGAGGGGGCATTGACCACTTGACCTCATAAGTTAAGCCGTCACTGCACTTTATATACTTTATGGTATCATAATATTGCAATGTGACGAAAATACGCAAGTATATCAAATATATCAAATAATAAATATATCTCATATATAAAATATGAGCCCAATTGAACGCCAGGAAATGTTATCGTAATATTGTACTATAGTATGGCACTACTATACCGGGTGCGTCTCAAAAGTGGCTCACCCCTATAACTTTTTTAATTTTTACAGTTAAAAAAGCGAGATTCGGTATGTTAGTATATGACATAAATTAGAATTGATTGAAGTATTCAATAATTGTTTTCGGTCACATCCTGTTTCACCGGAAATTACTACAACTTTTGATTTTTAAATAGCACCCTCGGTATTTTTTTACTTTATTCGATAGAAAATAACACTCTGAATAGAATGACATGTCATATGTCAACCTTTGAAATTTTTGCATATGGTTTATTTGAAATTATCACTTGCTGTTCGTAACGAAAATTTCACTGATCTAATTAACCACCCTCGTTCCATTTGAAAAAATTGAGATATGATTAAAAATATGATTTGAGCATTTTCTAACATTCTAACTGGCCAGGACAAAACACTAAAAATATTAGACAATCAAATCTATTTTTCCAAGGCTCCTTAATTAAGAATTAGTGTTATTAACATAACCATGGCACTCTAGATTGAATTTTAAAATTCAATTTTGTTTTAAGCGAGAATGTCAAAAGTTGATATATGATATGTCATTTTATTCAGAATGTCATTTTCTATTGAATGAAGTAAAAAAATACCGAGGGTGCCAATTAAAAATCAAAAGTTGTAGTCATTTCCGGTGAAACAGGAAGTGACCAAAAACAATTGAATAGGTCAATCAATCCTAATTTATGTACATATCAAATCTCGTTTTTTTATCTGAAAAAATAAAAAAGTTAGGGGGTGAGCCACTTTTGAGACGCACCCGGCATATTCATCTCCGCTAAAAGATAAAAGCATATTTTAATGAGTGTGGTACATTTAGAAGCTTAGCTAGGTTGGTGAAATAGCTAATAGAACTTAAGTCAGTTGAGTGAATTTAGTTTATCTAGACCAGTTAGTGTTAACACACATATATTTTATACACCTAACCAACTACCTATATTTATGTTAAAATTATTTTTTTGTATTATTTACTCATGAGTTTTTGAACTTAAAGAAGACAATTTAACTGAATATATTCACATTTTTATTGTGAATACTTATATTTCATGAATATTAAGAGAATATATTAATTTTAATATTCATGTCATTTTGTGCTAATTGTGAAAATAATGTGTTATATTTTAAGATATATAATTACATATTGCTGTTTTAAAACTAAGAATAATGTACATACTATATTGAATAAAAAGTTTAATTACATATTCAATTTATGTTTCTTTTACTTATTCTAAGTGTTGTTTTGTTTTACAGAGAGTAATTACGAAACCCTTACAAAAAGTGTATGTAAATCGTAATATGGCTAATTCAAAGGGAATGAGAGTTCAGGTATGTAGTTTTACAATCAATGTTTTTATCACAAATAAAAAAAATGTAGGTATCTGCCGAATTCTGCGTACAAAAGTGGTAGATATAGTAATAAGTAAGGCATTTAAATAAGATAGAATCTTGCATGGGCGTAGTTAAGTTTTGATTTAGGGTGGGGCAAAAAAAAGTCGAAAGTCATCACCAAAATCTGCTTTACCTTATACTTTTCTCAACAAACCAGTCGCTGAACGGAAAATTAATCAACTGTTGGAACGATGAAACAATAACTGAAGGTGTCAGGGGAAAAACTTGATAAGTGCCAATTTCCTAATTTTAGGATTTTACATTATTATAATATGTTTAACTGGTCTCTACAAAATGTATATACTCTGCAGGGCAATAAGTTGTTAAATCCTATAATATATTAGAGATGGGAATTCTAGTTCCTTGGGAGGAACTAGGTCCATAGTTCTAGTTCCTCCAGAGGAATAGTTCCTTAGTTCACAGTAGTTCCCGACTGACATTGACATCCCCGTTGCTTGCTAATGGGTTTCGTTTTCAGTCAGAACTATTCACAGTATGATCCGTATAATGTTTATAATGTAAGAAATATAACGAGACGTGTAATCCGGAGTTTAACCATAGTTTTTATATTGCAAATAATTAATCTTCATACAATTTTATGACCCCCGTATTTTTTATTTTTTTTTAATTAATTAAGAATTTCAAATTTACACTTTTGCAATCTCTGACGTCACCTATCAAAAGTGTCACGGTTTGCCACCAGGTACTAAAAACAATTTTTACCACCAGGTAAATAAAAACAATTTTTCTAAAATAGATATAAAATTAATTGTAAAATAAAACTTAAGAAACTTACGTTAAAATGATCTTCACAGCAAAATCTCGTACTTTTGCTGACATATTGTTGTCTTGCCGCTTCAAACCAGGTTTTTCGACGGCTTTCATCCAAAGGAACAGTTATAAAAACTTTTTCTGGGGAGCCTTTAGAGTTATTTAGACAGCCCTTCACAAAACAAACTTTTAACACCCTTCATTACAAAAATAATAAAGAGGGTACAATAAAACAAAATTGAAAACTCATTTAACGCCAATAATAATTTACTATCAGGGTTGGCATGATTTAAATCAAATGATTAAAATGTGATTTAAATCAAAAAAAATAATTTTATTGAAACTTTATTATAAATCAAAAATTAACTGTAACAGTTATAAAAATGTGTCCTAGAAAACTATAAAAAATATTTCTATAACAGATATAACAGATAATAAATCGAAAAATAATTGTAAATGATATAAAACTATATAAAAATATCTATTCATCAAAAAGAGAAAATATGTTGTTTTATTTTTTTTTTTGAAACGGTTGTATGTTTCCAAATTCCTACTGACATTTTGATCTGCAGTAAGCATTTTGACATTAGATAGATAATACATACTAATTTCATTCTCGACTTAAGACTATTTCCGAACAATAGTGTATTGTTTTATTAGGAGTAAAAATTATACTTTTTTGACGATGTTGTACCTGTGAAGGACCATGAGGCAAAAAAAGTACATTTTTACTCCGAATAGAACATACTATTTTTTTTAAACATTGCAAAAAATAATTTTTTAATAAATTTTAAACATTGCAAATAATATAAACAGTAATCGAGCAACAATTTGTACACTCGTTGAATTTGACACTCAATAATCAGTTTTTTCTTCCTTTTGATCTGAAGCGAGCGACTTTTTTGCGGAATATATTGGTCACCGATGTGGAAAAATCACAACGCCACGTAGAATTCTTAATGTTATCGGTATCGGGGTATAGATTTAGCCATTTAGGATAGGACTTTAATTGGAAATAAGTCCTAGTCATTTGGAAATCCGATTTAAATATTGTTTTGAATTAAAATCAAAAAAATCTGATTTAAATAAAAAAAAATCTGATTTTTTTGATTTTTTTTAAAAGATCATGATTTTTTCCAACCCTGTTTACGATACTGAGCAGCTCTTTATTTTACTTTATAGAGCAAATTATTGTAATACATATTTTATTTAGATTAAAGCTGCAAAAATTATTATCGCCATGTTGGTCACATTGTGCCGCGATCATCAACGTTGTCGTTTATTATTTGACAATTATCATAATGTTAGTCATAGATAAAGGAAATAAATTTATATTGGAATGCTCGGCTTACCGCTAAAACGTATAACTGTTTTGGGTCGCATACGTTGTACGGGATCTGGCGCTGATATAGCGGTTGCTAAGAACAGCCGCAAACAAGAACAGAAAGAAATGAAAGAAACAAGAACAGAATAGAAAATGTCAAAGTCAGAATCTTCAAAAATAATAAATAATAAAATCTTTCAAAATTAAATTAACCGCTCACATTGAAAAAATACCAAAAAGTGTTTGTTTAAAGCGTCCATTTTCAAATTAATTATTGCTATTTTGTGAGTTTAATTTAAATTTTATTTACTCAAACCCGTGATAATTATGAAAAAGTGGCATTAAAAACTTAAGAAGCTGTGCTGTGAACTGTAAACTGCAAAAACCATCTTGGCTCGTGGTATAACGTTGGTTTCCAATGTTTTATAGGTATTTCATACATGTCCTTACATAAAATAAAGTTTCTTGTATGCAACACACTGTATTTTATTTATAAAATTATAAAAAAATAATAAATTTCAATAAATATTTGGCGACATAATTCCGGAAAAAGCCGAACCGCTCCGAAATTATCGAAAGCTTTGAGTCGCGACCGTTGCAAGAATAGCGCCAAGTAGTATTTACATTGTCCTTATGGGCACTTTCCAATCTAAACTTGTTTCATGTATCTATGGCGATTACTTTATATTTATTTGCATACAACTTACAAATACATACAGATACGAAATGAAATAGCGTCACATATCAAATGTTTCTCCAATTTAGAAGCTAATTAACAATTATATTTTCTTGTCTTTATAGACTACCGCAGGAAACGTTTTAACAATGATGGAGACAACGCCAGGAAACTATCAGTTAATGAGCAATTCTTTGCTTAGGCCAAGTAACTCGAATTCGAATTTAAAGACAGGCAATGTAATTTCGCTTGTGCCGTCAGCTACCAGTTCGACAAACAGCAATTTACCGAAAAAGAACGCCGCGCCGCCCAAGCAGCCAGTTAAAATTCTGAATCAGTCTGTTGCTGTTGCAACTATCTCAGAGGAGGATTCTGATTAGCAGATGTACATAATAATTAACAAGGATTGAAATATTCATAACACGTTTTATTTAAATCTTTTAAATCGCAGACCATTTCTTCTTTGAATTTAATGTAATAGTAGGAATATTGAAAATAAGGCCATATACAGAGAATAATGGTTTTCTAGCTTTGTTAAAAATTAATTAAAACTATTAACAGAAAGCAGTTCATGTGAAAACGTGAATCAAAAACAATATGTTATTTTTAAAATATTCATGAATTTTAATAATTTTCTTCTGTTTCATTAAACGTTTTGTTAGATCTCAAAAGGTGGGTTTGCATTGCATTTTACGTTCCCAATATAATTTTACATATAAAATGACAGCGATCTTCGTAGCCATCGTTGACGCCGTTTTTTTTTCAATCATATTGTATATAACAATAACAAATGTTTGCCAGGTACACGAGTCTTCTGAACCCGGCTTTACATATTGTTATTATTTGTCACAAAGTTTAAGTTTTTATTTAAAACGGCTGGTTATACAGGGTCGTGCAAATAAATAAATACGTATGATAACTTCTAAAGATTTTAAAAATAATTTGGGGTTTTTTATAACCATTTTCTATTTGCCGTTTATCTACAAAATTGTTTGCTTAAATGGCCCCACACACACCCGACACCACAATGTACTTCTTTACCAGTCAAAGAGTGTAATATATCATATTACCTATGATATGTTCCCCAGATTGTCTTTACAAGAGGAACAACTTTTTTATTATTAACATTTTGAGAAAAATACGTTCTTCATAAAAAGTTTTGCTTGTTCTAAAATGGCTAATTCCGTTGATACTTTTCCAAATTTCCATACCGTTTTAGAGAAAAAAAAACACGAAAATATGGAATTTTTTTTACTAAAAATGTCCTAAAAATCAAAAGACGTTTTTATGGTAATGCTAGTATAATTTCGATTTCATTCTTTGATAGATGGTTATTATTAATTTGGATAAACGTTATATTTTTTGCTGTTAAAGTAAATTTTCCGATAACTATTATCACCCTTTCCGTGTCATTAAGCTAAATAATTTGTGCTTGTTTAGTATTTTAAAACAGCAAGAAAATATGACATTAGCGTCATTTTCACTCTTTGATAGATTGTTATTAATAGAATCTTAATTATAAAATTCTATTAACCAAAAAGACAAGAAGAAAAAAAAGCAAACGACAAAATTGCTCATTGATTACATTGTCTTTTACTTTCAGTTATTATCTTAATATTCTATAATTGTCAAAGCTTTTTGCTATTAATTAAAATAAAGTGTATATCAGTAAAAAATATTATTGGAATAAATATTGAATCATGAAAAATTAACCTGTGTTTTAATAAGTTCACTAATAATTTTTACTGATATACACTTTATTTTAATTAATAAAGCTCTAGCAATTATAGTATGTTAAAAGATGATAATTAAAAGTAAAAGACAATGTAATCAATGAGACTGTGTGTAATAGGAACTGTACATGGTGGTCGAAATTGGTCTGTTTTAACAGAGAAAACCTATTTCCTGACTAGATGGAGCAAAACCGACATATACCTATATCATGGGCTCGATTTCTGATACACGTTTAATGAAATAAACCGCCTGTTGATATTTTCATTGCCAACTGAGATACGGGGTCTTTTTGATTTTTTTTTACCATTTGGAAAATTGCCCATAACTTTTTTATTTCGCCGAATAATAAAATTCTGTAAAAACGTTCTTAAGGCACTTTTTAAGAACAATCCAGTAGCGTAGTCATTTTTTTTCTGTGCTTGATCTTTTTGTTAGAAATAATAAAAAACATAATTTTTTAAATTAAAAGAATGCTGGCGTTTAATCCTTTACGACGATATAAAGTTATGGGTATTAATTTCTAAGATTGAGAGAAATATTAGGGTTTTTTTATCTTTATATCGAAGCGGGCTTTGATTTTGTGTTGACCTATTTGCCTAATAATTTTTTTACAATTTTATATTGTATATTATTATTTAGCTACATAATTAAAGACTTTTGAAAAGGTAAATTAAAATTCTATATTAGTATTAGTAATTGCAATTGAAATCTATACAATAAACAAAGAAAAAAACTAAAAAAAAGGTATTTTTTGAGTGACGAATATAGTTTTCTAAAAAAAATCATTAAAGATGTTCAAACTGAGCACCTGCTTGTTAAATACACAATGAACATCTTTTACGCATAGAGTTACATCGATTTATTACGCGAACTGATATAATAAGTCCAAAAGCTTGCCTAGTAGCCTTCTGTAATTCTTCTCGTCTCATTGGTTTTTATATATTAGGTCTTCTAATTTCCTCCATAAAAAAGTCAAAAGAAGTTAAATCATAGGACTTAGCGGGCTAAGATATGGGGCCCCTTGTCCCAATCCAATTCTCTCTAATTCTCCATTAAATAGTTCTGTTGTAACCATGGCGTTTTAATTGTAATTGGTAATACTAATATAGAATGTTGATTTACCTTTTCAAAAGTCTTTAATTATGCAGATAAATAATACTATTGAATATTAAATTGTGATAAAAAATAATTATTAGGTAACTAGTGGTACAAAATCAAGGCCCGCTTCAATATAAAGATAAAAAAACCTAATATTTCTCTCATTCTTAGAAATAAATACCCATAACTTTATATCGTTGGAAATGATTAAACGCGAGCATTTTTTTAAGATTATAGCCAACTATGATATCGGTTTAAAAAATTATATTTTTTGTTATTTCTGACAAAAACAGTGACTCTAGAGAAAAACTGACTACGCCTCTGGATTGTGCTAAAAGTGCCTTAAAAACGTTTTTACATAATTTTATTGTTCCGTGAAATACAAAAGTTATGGGCAATTTTCCAAATGGTAAAAAATTCAAAAAACCCCCATATCTCAGTTGGCAGTGAAAATATCAACAGGCGGTTTACGCCATTAAACGTGTCTCAGAAATCGAGTCCATTACATCTATGTCGGTTTTGCTCTATCTTGTCAGGAAATAGGGTTTCTCTGTTAAAACAGACCAATTTCGACCACCATGTACAGTACGTCCCCGGATTGCCTTTTGATTTTTTTTTCTTCGTGCCTTTTTGATTAATAGAATTTTAATTATAAAATTCGTTTAATAACAATCTATCAAAGAGTGAAAAATCTATAAAACAGTGTGGAAATTTGGAAAAATATAAATGGGATTAGCCATTTTAAACAAGCCAAAATTTTTTACGAAGAATGCATTTTTCTCAAAATGTCAATAATAAAAATGTTTTCCTCTTGTTAAGACAATCCGGAGACATACTGTATATATTAAAAATCACATTCTGATTTTTTTTGGATTTATTCATTTACACCTTATATTTTTCGTTGATGTGAATGTGAATATCAGTAATAAAATAATGAAAATTTAAGATCTTATAAGTTTTCAACTGCTTCTAAATTGATCAAAACATATACCAAAGCTAGAAAACTAAAAGATTTATTTAACTGTAAGTTTTTACTATTCATATGTAACAGCACTGAATTGAAACATCAGATTATTTCTATATTTTAAGAATTTTTGTATATAGTTATTCTATAGATTGGGGTATCGCCTGTTAGATCTGTTAGTGTATACAAGTAGATGATGTACATAAATATTTCTGATTTAGAAAACAATGTCTATATTTGAATCGTTTTGCGTTGTTCTTCAATTACACAAAAAGGATAAATGTGAAAATATATTTATTTTTGCTGCGTTCGTTTGCGTGGTGGAGAACCGGCATGTGTATATGATAGCAGCTTTGTATAAGCAGTAAGGGAAATAGCTTTTTAATTTGAAACTATTATTCTTTACCAAACAAATATCTTGGTATTTTTTCTACATACATATTTTAGTTGTGTTCAATAAAACTATTTTATAAGTAAAATGTGTTTTTAATGATGAATCACCTAAATAACCATATTTTTCTAAAAGTGGACTGTTTTTGAAAAAAACATATCATACATTAACTCAACAAAACAATAAGTTTGCTTTAAAAGTAACAGGAGGGTGTCTGGATAAATCTTGGTAAAATTTCGATTTCAAATTTATTTTTCGCTGTTTGAACCAGTCTGAAGACTTATGATTATGGTGGTGTTGAATCATGATTATGGCGTTGTTGATGTATGTTAAACACCATGGAAATTTTGCAAAGCACGAAAAATTAAGTCTATATCTCTTCGCCCTTATGTACTCGCGATACAAATCAGAGATTTTTCAGCTTTTAACAAAATGCTAGGCCCAAAATCACTGATTTTGTATCAGGAACACATAAGGGTGAAGAGGTAAGGAGTAAATTGAGTGCCACATGTCAATATAGCAAAGATCAAAACGATATTTCTGTTGACTCCAGCATTTCGACCTCGTTTCAAAAATTAAAGCCCCAATATTTCGAAAACTAAGAGGGATATCGAGAAACGGAATAGGGCATTCGATAGGGATTTCAACCAAAATATAGAGATATAAGGGTACAAAATAGAGCAAAAAAATTGAGGCGAAAAATTTTCCAAGGTTTTATACAAGGTGTCCCAGAAATAAGTACAAGTATTTTAACTGGTAGTATATTTCGGCCTCAGAAACACGTCTGTGAGTTTTTTTTTGCAAAAAAAAATTTAAAAATTTGGAATTTTTTGAAAAAAAATTTGAAATTTTTTTTAGTTTTAAGTTAAAAAACAAAATTTCTTGATAATATGGCATCATAGGTAGTAGATTAAATTTACATGAAAGGAAATCCAGAAAAGATCATTTTTTGTTTAAATTTTTAAACCTAAAATAACTCGTTTATTTTGGTCTTACTTGAAAAACGGTAAAGAGAAAAAATGTTTCTTTTGACCAGATCTACCACCCTTTAAAATACTTGCACTTATTTCTGGGACACCCTGTATAGCCTTTGATAATTTTTGGGATGAATAATAAAGTCCTATTTAGAGTTTCCATACGTCTGAATTTGCCCGGACATGTCCGGATTTTTAAACTGTCCAGGACGGTCAGGCCCGGATTTGGAAAAGCGTCCGGAAAACCTGACCGCAAAAACAATTTAACTTAGTAAAATATTTTACAGTTACAGTTGAATTAATTTTTCAGTTACTTTGTTGAATATTTTAGTATCTACGATGCTGCAGCTCTACCCATAAACAAAGAAAGAAGCCTACCTAACAAGTACCTAACCGACGCATGTTCGATTAAAGTACAAATTTTAATACTTTGGTGTTCAAATTTTTCGCCTTTGGTGCACTCCTGGAAAGTGTATGTTTATTTGGTTTATATTTTATTGATTTAGGGGCTATTGTTTGCGCCCTATAAAAGTTAATAAATAAATTTATAGTTTCTTTTTTGTGACGTCCGGATTTTGTCCGAATTTCAGATTTCACTTGTCCGGTATTTCCAAAAGCCTTATTTATGGTGTTCTTTATGAAAACCCTAGCCCTATCGGCACCAAATTTTGTGTACGGATAGAGCATTGAATTCCCTATCGAATGGTCATAAAGAATAAAGACACTTCTCTATTTTAATTAGTTTGGCCGTAATTAACGTTTTCCGAAAATAATCTAACTATTCTAATTCGTTGGTCGGCTACATCAGGCTACATTTGCACATCCCTAGATCTATGGAGTGTAGAGGTACCTAGATCATATATAATAGTGGTAGTTGGTTTTAAGGCTACAGCTGCCAGGGATCATATATAAAATAATGTTTTGAAAAACATTAAAAAATACGCCTAAACAATTTATAAGAAGAAATTAGTGGTTTATGGTCCGGGAATCAAGAAAGAAGAAGAAGGATAAGGTTATGTTTATCTGTGTTTATATTTAATTTATTTAAAAAATGTCATCTGTTTCAGTGTTTTGTTGTTTAAGAGGTTGTTTAGATGGTTTTAATTTTAAAACTCCCGTACAGCACATTCCGAAACCCAATCCCATTCAGTTAGATACTTCTTTCATGGGTAAATATACGAATTCAGAAAAGTTTTCCAGTTTAAGGAACTTAATTTTAGGATATGAAGTTGTTATTGTAAAAGGGGGACAGAGAGCGTGTGGCGCAGGGGCTGTGTTAGGAAATGCACCGCTAGTTCAATCAAAATCATACTTTGAAGTAAAGGTACAACAAGCAGGTCTGTGGTCAATAGGTTTAGCAACAAGACAAACAAATTTAAGTTTAACAGTAGGTAAGAGCAAATATTTATTAATTAACTAAAAGCTGAATTTGATTGAAATGATGTAAAATGTGTAGGAGGCTTCGATGAATTTTCATGGACGTTGTGCAGTGATCATATTTTAAGGCATAATAAACAAGAACTGTTTAAAATAAATATTTCAAATAATATAGAAGAGGGCTTTCAAAGTATTCAGGAAGGGGATATTATAGGAGTGTCCTTTGATCATATACAACTTAAATTTTATGTTAATGGAAAAGAAATAGATTATTCAATATCAAACATTAAAGGAACTACATATCCTGCCTTATATGGTATGTACTGGATTTTAAAATATAGCAACAGACTATGAATTAATATTAATATATTTGTAGTGGACGACGGGGCCATTTTAGATATTATTCTAGAGAATTTCACTTTTCCACCTCCACCAGGATTTGACAAAATTATGTTAGAGCAATCATTACTTTAGAATTAAAAAACAACAATCCAATTGATTATTTGCACTGTAGAATCAAAGCAAACTTGTGTAAGTTTTATGTATTTTTGAGATTAATTAATTGCTAACTGATCAGTATTTTCTGTCTGTAAGACATCTTTAATCGTATTAAAAAAGTAAATGTTCTTAACATTTATATAAATATTCTTAACCCATTGAGATGATAATATAAAACTAATATCTAACTTGAATAGTTGGTTAAAATATTATAGCTCAGTTGGTGTTTTGCTCAATGAGATTTGTTTTGGAACAATAATAGTAAAAAACGAGAAAAAACCTTAATCATAGACATAAGAATTTTAAAACATTAGCTTCTCAATAATTTAGTGAAAGAATTCAAGTATTAAATTATGTGCATTCCAGTACTATCATGTTATGCTTTTAATAATAGAGTAATAAGAATTTACAAGTGAATCATATCTGTGGTATCATAAAATTAGCATTTCTGAATATACACAATACTTCTAAATATGTAAAATGTGCAGATAAGATAGCTAACTATTAAATTGTTATAAATATATTTAGACTATATAAAAGTAGTGTTATTGGTCATGAAAAAAATAATTTTACCTTGCTGGAAACAAAACAAGATATTTAAACAATCTTATCAAACATCACCCATCTGCGGAGATATTTAATATATTACGTGAAAAAACTAGAAAATCTCCTATTTCTCTTAGATGAAGATGACGGCATAAAGATGTCTATAATTATAGATATCTTTATGCAGAATACAGTTCGTTTTTGAAAATAAAATTTTATGTCATATCAAGTGGCTAACAAAAATTGTTATTTAGCAAATTTACTATCCATTCAGTATACTTTTTTATTTAATATTTTATATATTACTCTGACTTAAGTTTTAAAGCATTCCTAAAAATATTACTATTTTATATTTACTACTACTATTTACTATTTTATATGGAACTATATTCTACTATTAGCATTAAATAATACAATTGCAAAGAAAGAAGTTTTAATATACCATAAGATCGAAAAAAAAAACGGCGTCAAAACCGGCTATAGAATGACACTGGACAACAATTTTGGTGAGGTCAAGCCCTAGACGTCGTTTTCTTGGCCCGTACTCTTCTATATTGTGTAATGGGACTTAATGCCAGTTGGCCTTAAGAAGGTTATAATTTATTTTTATATTGAGTAAAAATTATTTTCAAATGGTGTAGTAAATTGGAGAAAATTTTTTTTGCAAATTGATTTGTGTGTCTGGAAACGTTCTATCTGGTAATTTTTGATAAATTTTTTATCAATTTTTAGTAAATGGCGTCTAGAGATTGACCGCGCCAAAATTATCATCAATTATCATTTCCCAGCCTTCTTTGACGTCGTCTTTTATTCGATCATACGGTAGTATCGTTAGTCTTATTATATTTTTGAGCAGTGCAAATTATCAAATATATTTATTTTTAATTGTAATATAACATTAGATAATTTATTAAAAAGAAACAAATTAGATTATATTTATTTTAACTTAAGATAATAATATTCTTGACACTATTGTATGTATTGTACACTTCGTGTTAACGAAAAAAACCTTTGAAGAGTTGAATAAACATTACCTTATGTTTATGTTGAAACTGTAGTTCATAATTCCCAAAATAAAGCAAGACATGGTGTTTTTACTTCTCATTTAGTTGAAAAATACCTTATCTTTTGAGTGACAGACCTCAATTTTAGCTAAGGCACTTTTCCTTAACACGGCAGTATAGCTCATAATGATTTATCTTTTTATGGCAGAATTTTCTTTTTTATTTTTTTTATGCTGAACTTAATAGCTTATTTTAGTTATATTTTTTGAAACCTCATTTTAGATATAATAGCGCATGTATACTAAAGACGTCCATTATGCTGTCTGCATAACAGATTAGTTAAATTTAACCAAAAAGGAAGAGAAAGTATATATTGAAATAAATATTATAATAAAAAGTATCATATATTTTTATTTAACCGGTACATATTATGTTACATCACTAATCTTATAAAATAAAACAGTCAAATTAATCAAATTATACCTATTATCTTAAATGTTCAGAATCAATAAAATAACATTTATTTTGACTAACTTATTTTTTATGATCAAGATTGTCTAATATTTATAACTACATACGGACACACTCCCCAAACATGTATTTTTTCTCTGCATTTTGTTTTGAAAATATACAGGGTGGTCCGAATTGTATTCCAGAAACTTCGGCAGCATATTCTGCATATAAAAATAAATAAAAAAGTTCGTATAAATGTATGTCCTAAAATGATTAGTTTCGGAGATACAGGGTGTAGAAGTTTCATTTTTATTTCGATTTTTTCCAAATAATTTCTGAAGTAACGTCAGTATTTGGATGAAAATTGGTATCTGGGAGTTTTTTGACATGAGAAATTTGATTTTGATCTCAATGTGACTCCTTCTTGGAGAGGGCGCCACCTACAAATTTTTTAACTGGTTTGAAGAGTAATAACTTTTCGTCCGTACCCATATAGAACTACTGAGTAAAAAAATATACATTTACGACGTTTTTTACGTAAAGAAGGTCTCTTGGTAAAAATCGCTACGAGTAATGATTCTCGAGATATTTGAAACCGAAATTATCAATACCTGTCATTGACATGAATTAATCATGTCGAGACTAATTAGTTATTAGACTGAAATCGTAAATTGTAAATGTTAAAAGTTCACTGTTTTATCGTAATTTTTTCGCAGAAAAAATTATGATTAATTTAAAAAAATAAAAATTTCTGAGAAAATTTCCCAACATTATAATTTCAGTCAAATAACTATCTACTCAACGTGTTTATTTTTGTCAATAATGACATGTATTGACTATTTCCATTCTACATATCTTGAGAACGGTTGCTCGTAGTGATTTTTATCAAGAGACATTTTTTACGTAGAAAGTCACGGAAATGTATATTTTTTCACCCAGTAGCTTTATACAGGTACGGAAAAAAAGTTATTACTCTTCAAAACAGTTAAAACACATATATGTGGCGCCCCTACAAATAAGAGTCATATCGACATCAAAATCCCCAAATTTCTCATATCAAAAAACTCCCAGACAGCAATTTTCATCCAAATATTGACGTTACTTCAGAAATTATTTGGAAAAAATCGAAATAAAAATGTAATTTCTACACCCTGTATCTCCGAAACTAAGCATTTTAGGACATACATTTATACGAACTTTTTTACTTATTTTTATCTGCAGAATATGCTGCTGAATTTACCGGAATACAGTTCGGACCACCCTGTATAACGTTCAGATTCACATACTAAACCATTGCACTATACTAGAACTAAAATTATTCTATAACATCTTTGGTATAGTTTTTATAATAAAAGCCACGAATAAATTTTCGACATATTAACATAATACACATGTAATAATTTTTAAAACATATACTAGTTAAAATAATTCATCTCTTCTTAGTATATTCCTCTAATGTCTCTAAATTTTATGTTGACATTAAAGAGGGCTACATTCAGGCTGAGAGCGGCGAGCGTCGCGTCGCGTCCGCGTGTCGAAATGGAATCAATTCACTTAATTTAAATTAGACCGTTCAGGCAGACAGCGTTGCGTTTGGCTTTGCGCTAGCGTCCGCTGAGCGTCGGTCGGGGTTCGAGTTCAACGGGGCGGACGCGACGCTCGACGCTCTCAGCCTGAATGTACCTTAATGATCAAGAATGATGTGATCAATTAAATCTAGTACTTCTATTGCAATAGGTTTTTCTAACAATTAATTAATGATAACCTGTTCGTTATGATTTGAATTCCCATTAAAGCTTAAAACACCAATATGATGCAAATTAAAATAAGGAGCAGCCAATAATTGGTACAAATAAATGAATAGCATTTATATAATATATAGTTTGTCCAACGAGAGGTTATGTGGTTTCAACAGATGACATCTTAAAAAGTGATAAAAAACAATCTAACGTAACATCATATTCTGTCGCTGGACAGACTATGTCTATATGGTAGTTATGTCCTTATATACCGTATGGTCGAAAAAAAACGGCGTTAGCGATGGCTACGAAATGAAGATCGCTGTCATTTTATATGTAAATTTATATAGGAAATGTCATCGATCGTCATTTCCCAGCCAACTGGACGCCGTTTTTTTCGATCATACAGTATTATTATAACTATAATGTGCTACACTATACTATAGAAGTTACAAAAAAATGTTGTTTTTATTGAAGCTTCGACATAACTGTATATTGAAAACAAATTTACTTAGAGCAGGTGTTTATATAGCAAATTTATTGATCAAAATACCTCCTTAATCACTTGTTGAAGTTTGTCTGGTTAAAAAATTCTTTCTGTATATATCAGTACCTACTAAAACTTATAATGAGAGATATTGTGTTAAAAGTATTAAGAAATATATTGTGTTCAAAAATAAGAAAATGTATTCATAGAGGATTAATGAAATTAATTAAAATGGTACCTATATTTATATTTTATATAGAATACATAATTATGAGCTTTTATATAAATATTTAAATACAATTACTGTCATAGGAAAATATATTACCACTTTTGTATTTACCTATTTAATAGTTATACAAGCTTAAATATTTTGGGGTAATCTCAGTTACTTTTTAAAAGTACTACAAAATCATAAGGTTTGACTTAAATAGTCGATTTCTGGACGAAGATGATTGCGTCAGAACAATCTTATTCAAAAAAGGTAGCAAACCCAGGGGCGGCTGGTCCTAAAGGGCGCAGCAGTGGGATTCTGTAAATTCTGTAGCAAGAAATGTCTTGCCTAGATGATGAGTCACTAGACAGGAAATATTTTTTTACAGAATCGCACTGCAGGAGGACGTGCGCCCAGCCGACAGCCAAATAAAAGAACAGAAATATATAATTGAGTGCAGGGATGATATTTTTAAATTAACACTCTATACGATCAAATAAAGACGTCATTTCTAACACGAAGCCTATAGGGATAGACTTTATGTACTAAAAATAGTAGATAAGTTTTTTCTTGTAAGATCTGTGCCCATCCTCCTTCAAAACTCACGAGCCGCTACTGGCAAAACTAATTAAATGTGTAAACTGAGATAAAATTCGAATTTATTGTCTTAAGAGCGGAAATGGCTCAATCACTAGATCAAACAAAGATTAAAGGCCGTTTTGTATGCTGCAAGACTTCCTGCAAGATGGTGCAATTTGCAACAAATCTTTCCCAAAAACATGTGCTGTTGTGGACAGATGTCTAATATCTCTTGCACTTGCAACTTATCGGTTCTGCTCATTATTTCTGCTACTACAAGTGCAAGACTGGGGGAAAATTTAGTAATTTTAGTGTATCCAAAGTAAATAAATGTCAGTAGACCAGAGACTAGACCGACAAGTTTGACTGTTTATGTTTGTATGGCGACCTCGTTTTATTTTTATCTAAAAATGAATATTATTTTGAAGAGAAAAAATAAATTAACAAGAAAACGTATTGATGTGTAAGGTTAAGGTTAGTTTTGTTTGTTTGTTCAAGTTGGCAGAAATCGACAATCGCAATAGAGTTGCAGCATATGATACACAGAAAAAAAGATATTGCGCAGGTTGTCACTACGTCACAGGTGATATCGGCACCATTGGTCGCCAATTTCAAACCGTCAAACTAATGACACATAATAAATGTGAAAATGACTTCAAATGTCAAGCTCAATGATTTGACATAACTTTTGATTATGTCCACTTTTGATTATGTCCAACTTCAGATTATATCCTAATTCTTCCCTATTTTAGGTTTTTTTTATTAGTGGCAATTGAACAATATGGATATTTTTGTATGGCGTAGTGACATGCGCGTCACAGGTTATATGCGCAAACTGAACGAAATTGGAGCCGCTATAGATCATATAGTATTTTTAATACACATTTAGAATAACACCATCCTTATTTATTATTAATAAATCAGTTGAAACAAAAAATTACCAACAAAAATGAACGTCGATAACTAATTTGTTATGGTGCGTTTAGACTTGAGCACGCACGCACTGGTCCTCGGCGAATGCTCAAGTGTAAACGGCTGTGCGCGCACGCTCGCTCTGAATCTGTCTGTGTGCGAGCAGGCGCGAACGTGAGCCGTCTGGTGTCGGTTTTTGGTCCGTGCTTAAAGGGATTTTATATTTTCGCGAATTGCTCAATTTGCACCGGCAATTTGTTTTGTCTTGCGTGCATGCGTGTGTGATTTTTTCGTTTTCTTTATTAAAATTATGGAGTGGATCAAAGAATCTTCGTTATTATTAATTGAAAAATATGAAAAGTTGCCTATATTAAAGAATGTTAAACATTTGTATTATTAAAAAATCAAAAAAAAATATGAGGCATGGCAAAACCTTGTAAATAAAATTAATATTGAATATGTCGATATTAATGAAATTGCTATTCTAAAATTTGTATCTTTTGTTCGTAATTTTTGTTGTTATTAAATTTTGTAAATATTCAAAGTCGGGCCTGGTCATTCTTGTAAAGTTTTTGAACTGATCATAGCCCTCCTCAGACACTAACTTGTTGCAGTAAATTATATCGATTTCTAAAAATTTGGGTTTGCCACCAGTGACGATGTTTTCGATTTTTCTTCTTTTTAATAATTAAGCTGTGCATAACAATGACTGCAGCCTCGACTATTTCTTGGTCGTCCATTATTTTCGCCAACACAACTCTGCTGTGCGCGCACAAACGGATCACTTCATTCGTCGAAAAATAAGTTTTTAATTTGAACGAAGCCGAGAGCGCGAACGAATGCCATGCGCGCACGCTCAGCTCGTGCGTGCTCAAGTCTAAACGCACCATTAGATGTCACGTTTTTGAAGTTACGTCAAATGTTGATTTCATGTTAATGTCATAACGCGAAATAAGATATAAAAATGCGATATTCTGATGAATCCAAAAAACTTATGCTTAATGTAGTAAACTATT